CAGGATAGTCTCATGGTTATTATGCAGAGGCGAATGGACAAAATGGAGAAGCTTTTGCGAAGGCTTCCTGAGGAATTTTTAGATACTGAGGATGACGACGAGACTCAGCCCCCGTCTCAGGATGTAGGTGATGACTATGATCATGCAAGTCATCCACCAGCATGACTTTTGTATCTTTGTTGGATGTATATGACATGGGCTATTGTACATAGACTCTTTTGATTAGTATATGATAGGGACTTTTGTATATGTATGTTCCTTTTGATTAGCATATGTCTTGCACATTTATAGATATATGACACTTTTGATTAGTATATGACAGGGACTTTTGTATATGTATGTCCCTTTTCATTAGTATATGTCTTGGACATTTATAGATATAGGACTGTTTTTATTTGTATATGACAGGGACTTTTGTATATGTATGTCCCTTTTGATTAGCATATGTCTTGGACATGTATATATATAGCACTCTTTTGATTAGTATATGATAGAGACTTTTGTATATGTATGTCTCTTTTGATTAGTATGTCTTGGACATTTATTCATATAGGACTCTTTGGATTAGGATATGACAAGGACTTTTGTTTATGTATATGTCTTGGACATTTGTATATATAAGTCTCTTTTGATTTGTATATGGCAGGGACTTTTGTACACATAAATTATAGTAAGATCCAATAATTTTGATATGTTACTTTCATTATATTTGTTTATCAGGTGTGAAACATAAAATGGTATTAATTTTGTAGAGAAACAAATGAAAAAGCAATTTCGTCGAAAATTGAGACTGATTTTTTGACAGAATTAGTTTTCCGTCAAAAATCATTACAAGATTTTTCGACGGAATTTCATTCATTTCCGTCGAAAAATTTCGACGGAATTTCATTCATTTTTCGACGGAATTTGTTTTCCGTCGAAAATCATTACAAGATTTTTCGACGGAATTTTTTTCAATTTCCGTCAAAAAATTTTGACGGAATTTATTTTTCGTCGAAAATTGAGACAAGATTTTTTGACCGAATTTCGTTCATTTTTCGTCGAAAATTTTCGACGGAATTATTTTTTCGTTGAAACTTTCCACAGAAATTATTTCGTCGAAATTTCTGTAATTCTATCGAAAAAATTGTTACCCACGAAGATATTTTTGACGGCTTCATTTCCGTCGAAAATTCCGTCGAAAACATCATTTTCGACGGAATTTTTCCGTCGAAAAAAAAACATTTTCTAGTAGTGATCTCTTTTTTCATGACATCCTTGCTAATTCACTATTTATAAATTTACAATTGCTAAAAAAAAAATGAGCGTGTGCATTTCGTCTAAAACAAAATGTAAAAATTACTATCGCGTGTAACGATATACATTTGTATCCTAATAATTAGAGCTATTAAATATAGATAATATTAACAGCCAACATTAAGAGAGTATATATATATATATATATATATATATATATATATATATATATATATATATATATATATATATATGTATATATGAGGTATGATCCTTTGACACCAGTGTCAAATTTGAAACTTGACACCTCATCTAAGAGCCGTTAGATCAATGATGTCACATACTTACACATGAGAGTCGTTGATCTTTTTTGATTTAACGAATCTCAGATAAGGTGTCAAATTTCAAATTTAATACTGGTGTCAAATGATCATACCCAAGGGGTGCTAGGGTAGGCCGCCGCCCCCCTCAAAATTTGAAGAAAATTTTGAACATAAGTATAATGCCAGAAACCTCCATTTTTTCTCTCCATTAATGTGAAGTTGTGTTCTCCTACCGCAAAGAGTTTATAGAGCTTCTTTATATTCTTAGGTCCTATTTCTATTGAAACCCCTCTAACTCTGTTTGCAGCTTCAACTTGAAACTTACAGTTTCAACTTGTATTATGCTTAGATGTTAGCACAAATCTTCCCATCCATGAATAAAAATAAGAAGTCTGAGAATCTTATGAAAGAATGAACTATATTCTTTCGATCCCTCTCCTTTTCTAATGATTCGTGACAGAGAGGGAAGCGAGGGGGAGAAGGGTTTTGGTGATTGTGCTTCTTGGAAATTTGTCTCTTCTAATTTATCTTTGGCTTTTTTTCTTGTTGGGCTAACAATGAGTGAATAGAAAAAGAGGTTAAGAAATGAGAGGGGTCTGCTTTGAATTATCTATTTAGATTATAGCAATTAGTACATATCTTTTGTGAAATCTAAACCTTTGCTCTCTTCTCTTTTTCTTTGCATAAAAAATATTCATTTTAGGGGTTGAAAAGGTGTAATTTTTTTCAAAATGATAGTAGATTTTACGGTGACATCTTCCACCTCTCTCTGTGTGTCTCCTTCTTTCTCTCTATAACAAGTTAAAAAAGGTATTTATGAGTTATGTTCTCTGGATTGGGATTTCGGTCTCCCACATATTGTGGTTGAAAAGAGGAACAAATATTTAATTTTTAGCCCCTCACAGGAAAAATTCCTGGGTCCGCCACTGATCGTACCTTTATATATATATATATATATATATATATATATATATATATATGACTTATCGTTTCTCAAGTCACTTAAGATAACCTTATCTTTGGCAATTATTAAATCATAACCGTACAAAGATAGATCAATGGTAATAAAGGAAGATAGAGTAAAAGGGAATCATAACCATTCAAAGGTGAATCAATTAATATTAGAAAATAAATAAACAAAACGACATAGTGTTTGGGTGGCCGGAGACAGTGGCGGAGCCACATATAAGGTGGGTGTGGCCTCAATCCGGACTAAATTTTACTAAATTGTACTTATTATATATAATTAATTATAATTTGGCCCGACTTAAAATTGTAATTTGGCCCAATTACAATTTGTAATTTACCTCTATCTAAAACTTAAAATATTTTTGGTGAAAGATTTGGGTAAGTTATATTAGGTTATGTGTTCAATTTTCACTTGTATATAAAAAAAATATTTTTAGTAAAATTAAAAAAATATTTAATAAAATTATAACTTTTCTTGGTACTACCTGCTCAGGTGCTTTGTATTTAATATATTATGTATGAACTCATTAAGATTAAGAAAAATAAATATACATATAATATTTTGACCCGGGCTCAAATTAGAGCTCGGCTTCGCCACTAGCCAGAGATAAACTTATCTTAACTGGCCGAAAAAATATTTTATATATATTGAGAAATTGTGATCACGTGCATAATCAGTAGTCCCACACTGTTATTAAGTATTGACCATTCTACTGAGCATGTAGTGCTGATATCATCTTAATACATTGAACCTATCTGATGGAAGTTAGTAAGATTTATATAGATTTTGTCCTAATAATTCATGACTAAGTTAACGTCAATCACGCAGACATGCTTGAGATGCATGTCTAGCATGCCATTCACCATACGTCATTGTGGACCCTCTCACCCTCAATCCATTTAATTTGATCATTTCAAATGTCCAATCCTGTGTCCCTTTTCTCTCAATGCTTGACTTCCTCACTTAACCTAGGCTACTCTGCCTCTGGATTCATCGGCTACTATATTTTAATCAATTTTATAAGAATTAAAATAATGTTTTAGAAATCAACAAATATCAGCTTAGTTTTTATTTTATCTAATGATGCAAAGTATATAGTCCTTTTGATATTGAGCTTAATCTTCAATGTATGCAATCCATGCTAAAAAAGGCCGGACACTTAGCGCTGAAATTAATTAAATATATATGCTCAAGCTAGATTACTAACGTATCTAGCATTTACAGCCAAGGAGCAGATACCCTTTTGTTTTATTTGCCCAAACCACCCTCACTTATATAAGACCTTTTAATTTTATATTACGCGGGCGTTTGGTACAAGAGAAATTTTTTTTTTGTCTGGGAATCTCGATTTTTAAAAATATGATTTTTACATTCAGTTTACGATAATATCTGAAAATTTAAAATTTACAAAAAATTATTTTCCCGAGAACCGTAAGATATCGATAAGCCATGTACCAAACAGCCTCGTAGGTTAAGTCTGTTTATCCTTTTAATTTTTTACATTATATACTATGGATAATATATAGGTATAATATGAAAAGTAATTTTTGAAAGAAAAAATAACTTTTTATATTATAACTATATATTATTCGTAATATATAGTGTTAAAAATTAGAAGTACACCACTTATGTATTTTAAAAGTAGAAAATTTTTCCTCTTATATTATTGTCCGTGGCTTTCTACCAATTATTTGAAGTTTGCGACATATAATATTGACCTCCTTTATGCTAAAAACAAGAAACAAAAGCACGACCATAATTTTTTATTTTTTTAAAAAAAGGTATGCTGCACTCATTTCATACCAATCATGCCCCCAAAAATTATAGGGTTTAAATTATCTTATGTTACTTGAGAGAATTCTCTCATGCAAGTGACACATGAAAAGTCGTGTCATTCTTTTCTTTTCTTTTTGATTTTTTTAAAAATAGTGGGACCCACATGATTTGTTTCTATAACATGAGGTAAGTTATCTCCTACAGTAGGAGATTAATAAATCCCAAAATTATATTATTCATGTTATCACCCCAAAAGAAAAGCACTGCTCATCTTAATTACGAAATGGAGACATATATAAATTTTAAATCTAAAAAGTTGCGTAATGTAACATAATTATCATATCATGCATAGCGTCACACACTTTTCTCAACATGTAAGAAATTTCCGACAATCCAATCCTGATTGGTATAAAACACCAAAAATCCTATATTTAAAGCTGCTTTGGTTTTCCTTTTATGTGCTTTTTTATTTTACCCATAGGAACATATGCTTTATTTTCTATTCCGTTGAAATTTTCACAATCATTTCTCTTCTACAAATGATTATATGCTTTTCTGTTTCCCAGCATGCACTTCATTTCCTTTATAAAAGCCTCTCAAATTATTACTTTGTATCTCACACACTCCCACACCATTAGTTAATCACATATTTTGGTGCATTTTTTTTTTTTTCACCCCAAGACCTAATTAAATTCATGGCTGATGTTGATTACCATACAAAATCCAATACTACTACCACCCCATCAGTATTAAAGCTCTTTGGCATCAACATTCACAAATCCACAAAAGACACTGAAAATGAAGAAGATGGTTTGAATAATCAATATTCTCCAACAAGGTCTTATGCCAGAAAATTATATGAGTGCCAATACTGTTTCAGAGAATTCACCAATTCACAGGCATTAGGAGGACACCAAAACGCACACAAGAAAGAAAGACAACTTTTGAAACGTGCTCAAATGCAAGCTGCTCGTGGCTTTGTTATTGCTTCATCACATTCAAATCTCCACCATACAACCATATCAGGGTTCTCATCATCACCACCAACATCACAACCACCACATCATATCCTCGCCGGTGGTGGTACACCACCGTCTCAGCCACCTTCATCGTGGCTATACACGACGCATGCAGGTAGCCCAACCCATTCAGGAGCATTTGTAACTAATGCTGGAAGAGGTTTCTATGCTGCAGCTGGTGGTCGCTTAGGAGGATCTGTAACTGTCACAACAGCTTTACCTGATGGCCGTGGCCACCACCAGCCTCTGCCGGGGTTTGGTGGTTTCACCGGCGGCGATGGTGGTGGTCGTCTTCATAGTGAACAAGGGTTCGGCTTGGACTTGCAACTTAGCCTATGAGTTGTGAGTTTGAATTTTTATTTTTTTATTTTTTTTTATCAGCCTATCTATAGCGCGATGTAGCTATTAGCTTTAAGATTCTGAGTTTTGTGCGAATGTAAATTTTATTTAAGTAATTATGATTCTTTAGAAATAATTTTTAATATATTTTTTTATGATAAAGTTATATTTACAAATTTTTTTTTTTTTACAAACTCTTATAAATTACATTATGTTTGACCGGTAAGACGACACTCTTGAATAAAGTATTACCGGTTAGACATAGTATAGTTTGTAAAACAAAAAATTGTCAATATAATCTTACTTTTTTTCTTATTTCAAAATATTAGTTTCAACTTTCAACTACTCAAAATCATTGATTAAGTTAGAATTTTTAAATTTAATAAAGTTTTTCAAAATATATCGCGGACCATTGACTTAATTAAGATATTCTTAATTTATTATATGTTCAAATTCCAACTGCACAGATGCAGGGGATTAATTATTCGCTGATTGCATTTATATACAAGAAAAATAAAATTTTTTTTTCAAAAAGAAAAAGAAAAAAACCTATGTTGATATCTTCCAAAGTGTGCTCATTTTCACATTTGAGTCAACTCTCAAACCCTAATTTCGAAACAAATAAAGTGAAAAATAAAGCAAAAGCGTTATTGAGATTGATGTATGTAAATCAGATTATGCCCATGACATGAAAAATATAATTTAAATTGATAAATAATTAATCCAGCTTGGTCTCATGCAAATTATTTGCACTAATTTGTTAAATTGTGTTTAAATTATATATTTATACAATGGGGAAATAGGCTCTCCAACTATAGAAGAAAACTTATTTCGTATCACACTCACATCCACATAGTAGGTCTCACCATCATTAAATAAATAAAAAATTAAAAAAAATATTGTGAGGATAACTGGATATGATTTTCTCCGACAAGAGAAAATCATCTCCCTTATACAATTCCAATTTTAAAAACTTAGTTCGCGTGTTATATAGTTGTTATTCAAGGCTAGTTCCACTTTATTACCCCTAATTCTTTAAGTGCTCTAATTTTTAAAAGAGGCATAACTTACCATATATATTATTGTCTCCTAATCTAGGGAGATTAAGGAGTGGATTCCACATCATGGTGTGGTTTATGTTGAGACAAAATGCGTCAACTGACGTTCGAAGATTATTTTTTTCTCAATTTTTTTATCCTTTTTTCAATAAAAATATTCTATTTGTTCCATTAAATTTTTTTATACTATGGTCAAATGAAAATATTAAGATATCAACAAAAGCAGTTAGCTTTAAATTTATTGAATAATTTGACAATACATAACTATACTACAGCACAAAGAAATTTATCCTAAAATGAAATTAAAACTAAATTGTTTCCTTTTTTTTTTCCGTCTAAAGTCTAAACTAGAACATGTAAAGAAATGATAAACGGAACAGAGTCCAATAAGTTTGTTCCAATAGTACAACAAAAAAGAAAAAAGTGGGTTGTCGGGAAAATAAAAGCCCAATTAAAATTTAATGTGTCTCGGCCTAAATTGATGAGTAAAACTGCACCGGGCTGTGCTTGGGGCTAATTTGCCCAATATTTATTACAATTTTTTATTTTATGTTTACTATATATCTTATTTTTTTATATTTATAAAAAAAACTTCAAAAAATCTTAAAAATCAAAATGAAGTAAATTTTTTTGTTATTTTAAATGACATAAAATTATCTCATTTTAAGAGAGAGACAAACATAAAATAATTTTTTTTTGAATAAAAAAATTACCCACTTTCTTTTTATATTTTCTATTTTTTGTATCTATCTCTTTATTAAAATGACATAATTTATGTTATTTAAAATAATAAACATCAAACATATTAATAACGCATATGGATTAAAAATAAACACTAAACCAAAACAAATAAAAAAGAAAAGAAAAATGGTCAACAATAATAAATTCCTATTTGAGTGTTGTAGCTCTTTAATCTCTCAAAATAACAAAAAATATTGGCACAGTTCTTTTCTTTATCCATTAACCCAGAACGCCTACATCTCGCGGTGGCCATGCACTGGTACTGCACTAGTAAACACTAAACCAAAACATATCAAAAAAAAAAAAAAAAAAAATCTATTGATACACCATCTCTACTGCGAGTGGAGAGGCTGTGGTACTGGTAAGTTGCTCACACCATTTTGTGTCTTTTCTTTTTCTTTTTTCTTTTTTGTATTATTCGATTCACGCGGTAAATGTTTGTTTATCCTCTGCACCTGTCTCTCTTATGTTGTGTCTTTTTTCTTCTTCTTTTTTCCCAAATTTCTGTATAAGTCTCCCGTCAGAAAAAAACACAGACGCTGGTTGTGGTTCTGCTGTAACCATTTCTCCGAACAAAGAAAGAGATAGAGAGGCTGAGAAGTTCAATTGAACGGAGAGATTGTGTTGTGGAATTGTTGGTGAAAAAAGGACCGACTAGGTTGTTTTGTTGGAAAAGGTTTAAAAAACATCTAATGTAGGAGTCCATTTTGGATAGCTGCATAGGTTTTTCTTTACCTGAATCTTATTTTGTTGGACATGTTATATTATAATATCAGAAAAGCTATAGCACTTACAGAATATCCTCCCTATATGTATCCCCAACCACATTTTTGTTATTTGTTGCTCAATTATCTCTGTTTATGAATTTTTGCACATTTTGTAATTTCGAGTTTCTTAGTGGTTTTACTAAAATTCTGGTTTTTGATATAGTCCAATGGTGTGATATGTCCATTCATGTAGCTGACACCTCCTAGCCGGATAAGGCTTAGATGTTGCTGTTGCTGTTGTTGTCAATTATATGATATGTTTCTAATTCATTGTAAATCCTTTTCATTTTTTCAACAGATCAATGTTGCATGCAGCATCTGCCTCAAGCTTTTGTTTAACCTATCCCAGGAACCTTCATTATCCTTGTTATTTAACAAAGCCTTTGGTTAAAACAAGATTGTCTGTCCGTTGTTCATTACCAGACACAAATAAAGGAGCTCAAGCGGAATATACTCCATGGCTCGTCATTGGCTTGGGTAACCCTGGAAATAAGTACCATGGCACTAGGCACAACGTAATTATTCGCTTATTTGTGAAAGTGCTTGAATACACTTCTATTTGTAGTGAATCTTATGGTTTCCCCTCTGTTAGGTTGGATTTGAAATGATTGATAGCCTTTCTCAAGCAGAAGGGATTCTGATGAACACAATACAGTCAAAGGCCCTGATTGGAATAGGTGCATCATCTGCTAGTATTGATTTTATTTATTATGTTTTTCACCTCTTTTTCCCTCCCAGTTATTGAATTTATATTCATGGTAACTATAACATTAACTTGTGTTTTCTTCTGTTATCTTACAGGTTCTATAGGAGAAGTACCAGTTTTGCTGGCAAAGCCCCAAACATACATGAATTTTAGTGGGGAATCAGTTAGTTTTCATCATACATAATAGCTTGATTTTCTACAACACACAAACTGACACACACTCTTATTGAAACTGGTTATGGATCAACTTTCTGATTCAATCAATGCTTATTTGTACATGTTGATATGACATATTTTTATTTCATAAAAAAAATTATGGTCTGTGTCTGTGTCTGTCACCTTTTGTGTTACTTTTCTGTTCCTGATTTATCTTATTTTTAATATTCTTAAAGGTTGGGCCGCTTGCAGCATATTATAAAATACCCTTGCGTCATATTCTACTAGTATGTATTTCCTACCTTCTGTTTAAAATAGCTAGTGAAAATTTAAAAGTTTGTTGAAATATTCTTTTGGCCGTAAGTTTATGGGAAGTTTTATGTAGGTTCATGATGAAATGAGCCTTCCGAATGGTGTTTTAAGGCTTCAACCTAAAGGCGGACATGGTTATCACAATGGGTAAATTCTTGTTGGATTTCCCATAACATAGTCATTTAAGATTATTGATATATCAAAATAAAATATGATTTCAAAAGTAAGAATTGTTAGTTTAGCAAATCCTAGCTTTATGAAGGTAAACAGACTTTCATCAAACTTATTAACATAAGACAGAATGAATTAAGATATCCAAGGTTAGGGTTAGGATTTTAGGATGCATTAATGGTGGCAAATAAGGTGGATAGAAAGTCCACTGAAATTTTCCTTGACGATGAAGGTGGTTTGTGGGTTTAGCTTTATCACTGGTTTCTTCAACTCCAAAGTTGAATTCTCCTCTTTGGTTTCTTAATTTGATTGACTCTTATTATGTTCTAACTTCTAACGTAAATTTTCCGTCTTCTTTAAACCAGGACAATGATTTGAATCTTGCCATTGGTAGCATGTAGCATTATAGCTCTCATTTTTTTTAATGATGTAATTTTTAAATATTTTCTTCAATAATTTTAGTGGTGAAGATTTATTCTATATTATTTCATCACTTGTAGTTGTATGGATCAGATATTAAGGTTGCCATCCCAATCTTGCCAACCTTTTTTTAACTTATTTGGGAACTGACAGTACCTGAACTAGTTTGAGATAAAGATATTGTTGATCTAGATATTGACATTGATTTGGGAACTGGCAGTACATTTCTCTGTATATGTCTTCTTCTCCTGGGAAATCTTGAATTCTATAACTCTTGTTAGATTGATGCAGATTGAAAAATGTGATGGGCCATTTGGATGGTTCCCGTAGTTTTCCTCGGCTGTCAATTGGTTAGTTCCTCTACTACTGTCACTTTATAAGTTAACATGGTCTCTTCAATTGTTTCAGCAGTTATTTCAAACTTGTGTGTGTAGGAATTGGAAATCCTCCTGGATCTATGGATATGAAAGCTTTTCTTCTACAGAAGTTCAGTTCGGTGGAACGAAATCAGGTTATACCTTCTACTCTTCTATGAAGCGTGAATTGGTTTAGTTCTTTTAGTACTACACAGCACTTTTCAGCTTATACTAGTTGTGAAATACTTAACAGTTTACGTTTCTGTTATGATAAGTTCATAGATTAGTGTAAGAGCGATTTAGAATTCATTTTGATTGTGGATCTTAATTGTAGTTAATAGATGGATGAACAAATTTGGCTATAATTACATACTTGGAGAATATAATAAAGAAATTGAGAACGTAGACGATGCAAATATTTGGACAGTCAGTGTAATCTACTAAAGCAATAGGAAGAGACGAAGAGTAATAAGCCTGGTATTTGTGGCAAATTTTATAAGGGGAAGATAAATTTACACCATACACCTATTATCAGTTATTGATTTCACTTGCATCCGGTGATTTTAATTGTTTAATCATGTAAGTTGTTTGAAATAATGAGTATAAGATTTGTTAGACTTATATCAATGTAAGTTGATCATTTCCCATTTTTGTGTGTTTGAAATTATGTACCTTTTCTCTTATTTGAAATTTGATGGCAAATTTATTTATTTATTTTTAATAATGACAGATTGATGCTTCATTGGAGCAAGGAGTTGAAGCTGTAAGGACCCTAGTGCTCCATGGGTTTAACAGCCATGTCAATAGATTCAATTTAGGGCAAAAATACAAGTACCATAAAGTTTAATTTCTCTCGAATGAACCGCCAGTTTTGGGCATGACGAAATCCTCGGTTACCTTATTGTGTATGGTAGCAGTTTTACCTCAAAAGTTTGTCTTGACCTTGTACTGTACATTTGTGTAAAGCTCACTTATTTTTTCATATTATGGCTATGTCAGGCAGATAATTGCTTCCTCGTGAGAAAAATAAGTTTTTGCTAGGACCAATCTACAAAATTGGTAGTGTTTGTGGAAGCAACCTTTGCCCTTGGGCACCTCACTAGTCACAAGCCTTTTTATTTTGGGGTCACAATTTCTAGGATGCAAAGCACAATAATAATGAGTTAACAAAATTCACAACGATCTCATCAATTACTTGTTAGTTACACCTTTGTTTATGGAGCAAGTGCAACAATTGATATTGGACGAGGATAGTCTAAACTAACCGTTGATTTGGTAATTAGTGAAAATAATTATGACAATAGGCCAAATATAAATTCATTTTCATTCTCACAAACTATCATGTTCTTAATTTTGTTAAATGATTTTGGGTAGTTAGTTTGAAGACAGTAGAATAATTCTTGCCGTGTATATAGAAAAGGTTTTGTTGGAAAAAGTCGTACCCACAAGCATGATCTTTTTGCTTCGAGAGGATTAATTCTTGATTTTTGGTTTTGGGATACCCTTGGAACAATTTAAAAAAAAAAAAAAAAAATTGCAGAATAAGGAATCAAAATTCAAATAGTAATATCTTCTATGATTTTTTTTTTTTAAAAAATAATAATTTGACAGATATTCTTAAAATTTAACATTTTACACCAAGGGCAACGCTATCGCTTTAATAATACTGCATTATTTCTAAACTTTACTTCATTACTCAAAATGAAATAATCAAACAATTAATGTTTAGAGAACTTAGATTCTTCAATGCTGTGGGACCCTTCCCATGTATAACGTTAGAATAGAAAAGGGTTCCCTTATCTGTCTCTATATCTCCTACTTCGATTAATTAGACCGTTGCAAAATCAAATATTTTAGTCATCAAAGTACTGAAAAGTTGAAAGAAGCTCAAGAAAAAAGCGCTACAAAACTGTTTCATCAATCAAGCACTAACACTACAACAAAGCAAAGCATGGCAGTAGCAGAGATCAACGTCTCTATGCAACAACCGAACCTCATAACTCTTGACCCTATCTCTCTCATTCTCAACTCCACAAACAGTTTCATCATGGACATGGAAAGAGGACCCAGATACGAAGCATACGCTGAGTTGAGGGAAAAAAAGCTGCGAATGAAGTACCTGAGGCAACAAGAAGATGAAGAAAAAGAAGAACCTGAGGTAGTGGAACCAAAGCTTCCACCAACCCCACCAAGAAAACAGGTCAAGTTTCAGGGTGGTTTTGCCTCTGGGAGAAAAGGGTCCTCTGTTCTTGCACAGTCTGTGCCAGATTTCTCTGCAGCATTGAGGAAGGAAAACCGAAAACCGGTGAATATGCTACCTACAGTGATGGAGTTGACACCTCCATCGAAGAGTTTTTCTAAAGGTTGTGGGGTTTTGTCTAGTTCAAGAGGGAGTAAGTCAGCAAATGCAGGAGAGAAAAGAAGGGGTGGTGGTGGTGGTGGTGGTGTTCTCATGGCAAGGAAGAGCTATGCCTCCATTGATGAACTCAAGAGTTTTTCTTCGGTTACTGCCAATGCTATCAATGGTGAAAGTAGAATAGCAGGAGGAAGGAATAGCAGCAGAATCATGGGGAGAAAAACAGTTTTAGGGTGCAGACAAATTTGAGTGTGGAAATGTAGTTAGTTGTTTAGAGGAGTTTGATTGATTTGTTCATTGCTTGTTCTTTCTGTACCTTTGAGAGGCTTTGGTGATTCACGCCTTTCACTTCTCAAAAAAAAAAAATTCATCCTTTCTAGTTTCAATTTGCATTTTTTTTTTTTTTTTTTTTTGAGGAACTTGCTATAATATGTAATTGAAAAGCTGGTATGATTTGAATATCGATCACCATGATACTGTTATAGGAAGAATAGTTTCAATATGTTCCTCTACTAATTGGGAAGGACTTTGTTCATTATGTTGTGTTTTGAAGTAACAGCATATCGTTTATCAAAATAGAATAGATAAGCAAAATGTGGAGTATGCTTGTCCTTCCTTGTTCAAGATTGAAATAATTTTTTTCTTCGTTTTACTGAGGATTTCCTTATGGTATTATTCACTTCAATCTATTTCTGTCTTTAAATTCATTTTAGCTTATTATTTTGTTTCTATGAAAATGCTGAAACCTGAAACCTGAAACCTTCTTAATAATCAGCTTTGGTTACTTATCAAAGCGTTGAATGATTGGTGGCTATTTTTGCGCAAATGACAGACAATATAATATGTATTTAAAAAAAAAAAAAAAAAAAACTTTGTCACTGCAACTTTATTTGTCCACTAATTCAAAAGGGCCCAAAGAAGCCTACATTAGAAAGACCATAATCCCATTTTGTACAAAAATATACCCTGATTGTTAGATCAGAACATCTCACCAGACAAATGAGTGGTGAGATGTTGCATGAACAGCTAGCTGACAGGAATTTTAGAAGGAAATGGAGCTCTCATTGCAACCTACAAGGTCTTCAACAATTTCATCAACCAAAATTTGAAGTATGTCTCCATCTAAATCAACACCAGCCTCAAATGCTTCAATATCAAAGTCAGTCCATTTTCCCAAGGAGTGGCTCATCTCCCATTCTATTATTTCATCAGGTACCATCCCAGCCATACATGCCCACTTCTTGATCTCCCTCATGACCTCTTCAGTCAACATCTCAGCTTCCATGCATAACGGAAGCTTTGTCCATGCCTTGAATCCAGAGTTAAAATACAGGCAGCAATTTGATTTTAGATATTCTATGACACAATCAAAGAGAAATCCCTTGAGTTCCTTTCTTTGTTTAGAATCCTCGCAACCCACAAAGCCATTAAAATCTGTCCACATAGCATCATCCGCCATAGTGTCCAGTTCATTAAGGAAAAACCTATAAATTAGAAGTTGTGGCACTTCATCCTCACTGTGGTCAGTTGCAATTCCAAGCACCAATTCAGCATTTAAGAGAACATCCTTTACATGCTTGAGGTTGCTTCTTGTCAATGGTGTTCCCAAAGAATATAAACACTGTAATGCTTTAGGAATTTGGTTGACAAGAGTAGTCAGTATCTCACCTATCCTCCCTTTGTTAAAGGATGTTGCAGAATCTAAAAGTTCAGTGTCATGTTCTAATTGTTCCAGTTGACCATAAGAATAATTCATGGAGTCAGCGTGAAAACCATGCCCTGGAATTAAATCAGGGATCAGAGACATCAAAAAGAGAACTTGGGATTAAATATATTGAAATTAGAAATCACTTTTACATACATCACTTGTTTTTCTCTTTAAAGTTCCATTTACCTGAGCTTTCGTCCAGACTATTGGAAGAAAAAGAAGCTTCCAAAACAGATCCAGGACTGAGATGATTACCATTGCAAGAGGTTCCTAATGACCTTTCTTGTTTTTCCCTATACTGATAAGATACAAAAGAAAGAGAGCGTCAGGTATAATTGTCAGTGCCATACGCATGTGGTGTCAAATACAACTAGAATACAGGGACATACAACTTTCAATGTGTCTATGCAGTTAACCTACAATTGTTTTTATAGAAGTACAATTGTTTAATATCCAAAATATGATTCATTGGACTAAAACTAAATCCATTATGTAAAACAATTGGATGAAGTCTAAACAATGATAAAAATGTTAGTGAGATAAAATGATGCAGATATAATTTGTTGCATATATATAAAATGTGATTTTATCACCTCTTACAAATTTGTCATTGCTACTGATACATAAACAGAAGCAAAAGCAGAGTATACATAAACAAGAGAAGACTTACATGGAAACCAACGTTTTCCTCAAGCATATGAACATCATGACAGATCAGATGCTCTGAACTTAGAGCAGATATCAGCTCTTGAATAATCAAGGCGCTTGGTTTTTTAGGTGGAGCACCAGCAGCTAACTCCTCATCTCCTTTAGAGGATAATTCCTTCAATTTTTTTTCTAGAAAGGCACCTAAAGCATCAACTCTCAAAGCTGAAGGTCTTTGGAAATATGTCTTCCTCTCATTATCGCTGCTTGTCTCTTCCTTCTCAGCAGTTATTCCTATCTTTTGCTTCAATGGGGAATTAAATGTAAATGAAACTACATCATTGATCTTATCGTCATTAAACTTAACTGTTCCTCCCTGACCATCTTGTTTATTTCTGAAATTAGAACTATTCAAGGAGGAACCCTCAAAGTCTCTCCTTTTTCTACCCGGTGCATCAGAATGAAGATTTCTGTGTTTCACACCAACTGAATTAACAGAAGCTGTGCCTTCAAGTTGTGTGATATTTGGGGTCCTTCTTTTCCTCTCTAATGACCTTACATGAGACAAGGAATTATGCTGTCTATTACAAAGTTTTTTCTCTAGGTCAAACTTGGAACCGTCCACTTTGGTAGGTGACCTCATCCTCGTTCTACCACTCAGGCTTCTATTGAAAGCAACAAAATCTTTAGTCCCACTCACTGTGTTGGCAGATGATGATACTCTTTTTACTTGCATATCACTCATTGTAGACCCAAATGAATATCTTTCGCTGCTTGACATCTGTTCTTGTGTTTGAGTTTTTTGTTTTATGGCAAAAGAAGATGCATCATCCTCTTGGGTTCTAAATGGTTGGTGTGATGAATTCCATGTAGCTGGACCTTCACGGGGCATAGGCATTCTTCTGGTAGTGGTTTCATTACTTAACTGTTGTGCATTATTTTTTCCCTCTTCTTCAGTAACAACAGATATGAGCTTTTCCTGACTTCTCAGAAGAACTACACCTCTTTCTTGCTCATGAGAGGGAGTGAATGACTTTCCCTTCCTCTGTGACGATACCATGGAGGTAGCAGTGATCACATCCGAAACAATGGGTGGAGGAACAGCCGGCAGTCCCCCAACCTCCTGCTTGCAGTCAAAAACATCAAGTAAATTACCACAATTTTTGCATGAACTCTGCCCCATCAAAGGCTTGGCTGTGCAGGCATCATAGCAAGATTGGTTTTGCATAACTGCTGACCCATTTCCCACACTATTTGTCACAATGCCAGTCTTAGGAGGATACATGGAAGCAGGATATGTAAGAGAACCTTTAGCTCTGCCTTTAACCTGCAGTCCAGGTTCCAAAATTTTAGTAGCTGCTCCTATTAACCTAGAGCTTCGAGAAGCACTCTTCCCAGAAGTGATTCTTGGGCTCTTCAAAGGAGAAGCAAGCTTTGGGTGATGGTGATGGTGATTATACTTCCTTGCTCGTGACAAAACGCTCTTAAGTTGCAGCGCCTCAGCTCCAAACCTAGTCACTACCCTACTCTCATACGCCCCAGTTTTCTGAAGCTTCTGAGGTCTTGAATCATGCTTTACAGCTACCATTTCCAAATCCACACCATACCTATCCGACTCACAATGATTATCCAAAGACACCTTCTTCCCATCACCACAACTAACAGAATATGAAGCTTTCTTGGACTTATCTCGCAGTGCAGCTGGAATATCTTCTAGACCCATCAACCTAGCCACCAGACTTGGAACTCGCATTTCACTCTTATGCTCTACATCTACACCATGATTCCCACCTTTTTTGGCACTTGGGAAACCCCCACTATTCTCATTAGCGATCTACAATTGAAACATGGCCACATTAACCAACAAAAATAGCAAGTGCTAAAACATCAAAGAAAACCAAACAAAAATAATGAAACCTAGCACAATCCCTCAAGCATAAAAAGCCTTACCAAGTGGAGCTTGGAACTTGGCATTTTTTCATCTCCCCTGAACTTCTTTGCACGAGCTGATATGCACTCAGCAACAAAGATCAAAACAGTTACATCAGTATCCACAAAGCAGGAACAATCTATCGTGTCTTAGTGTGTGACAGTTCAAGTCAATTATAAGAATGATACAATTAGAAACTAACCAGGAGGCAGAAGTTTTTTGGTGAAGAGCTTTTTCTTGGTGAGTCTCCTCTTCCAATCAATGAGCTGAAAGAAAATGCCTACACAACCACCAGGCTTTTGCACCTTCTTCTCCGTGATGGCCAAATTCTTCGCCATAGAATCATTCATTTCTGCAACACTTGCCAACACACCCCAAAACAACAACACTTGAACAAAAGTTAAAACCAGCTTCCTAACAATGGATTTCTCTCTACATTGTCAAAAGCACAAACACACACACACAAAAAGTCCAACTTTTCAACTCTTACCTAGATACTTCACATTCCCTCACAAACAAAAAGAAAAAATCTCTCTCTCTCTCTCTCTCCCCAAATGGTACCCATTTGTAAACCACATCACCCAAAAACTCAGAACTCACATAAGGAAACACCATACAATAATGTCATCCACAAAAGACATGAGAACAACCCTGCAAAATTCCGTGTCTGCCCACGACAGCTCTGAAGCAGAAAGCAACCATTGATGCTACAAAACGACGACGTAAACCCCTCACATACACACAACACAAAGCAAAGCGAAGACCCACTTGGTACAAACACTGCAAAATCAAAGCTTTTATTTTTCCCACACTGTTTATTCTTCTCGTTTTGCAAGCGAGGCGCGTGTGGAGATAAGAGGGAAAAAGAGAGAGTGAGTGAGTGAGTGAGTGAAGTGTGCGTAAGATAAGGCAAAAGAGACAAAAAGCACACCCTACGCGCATCGAAGCATTGGTCAACACGAAAACGAATAATAATATTTGAGGTTACCTTGACAACAATCGAAAACAGAGTTTCGGTTTTTTGGGTAACGTTGTGTCAACGTCTGTCTGCTATTCTGCGTTGTGGGAGCGTCAATTTTCATAACTTTTCAAATGCCGGTGATTCCTCTTAACTCACGCGCTGTCAGAAGGCGTGATTTTGTAATTATGGTCTTCTTTTGCATTAAAACAGCAAAATCACTAGTGAAGATAAAGTACATGGTAATGGCACAAAGCTTTGAAAAGGAAATTAATCATGCACACTTTATTCTGTCTTTCTCATTATTATTACTTACTATTACTTGTTTAGTTTGCACCAAGAAAAAGGATGATAATGCATATTCGGAGATAAAAACATTTGACTATATCATATTTCTATGTTAATTGATTTTTAATTTTTTTTCACCCATAAAATTGAACATTTTGTTAAGCTGGAGTCAACTCTCACATCAATTCTTTTAATTGTTGTTTATATTATTACAAGTAAAGAAAATTTTATAGCTTCTGTTCTTTTAAAAAATAAAAAGTTAAAGGTGCACGTGAATTTGGGTGGACCCATTTCCCGAAAGTAGGATAAGCAGTAACCAAGGTAAAATGATGTGAAAATCAATGTATAGTCAAAGAACTGTGGTCACAACTCACATGAAGTGAAGGAAATATTTGAGTCTTGACATTATTTGATGAGTAATATTTTTTTTATGTTGTATAAGATAAATATTATTTTTTATTTAAATAATAAATAGGAGAAAAAAATTGAAAGTGAGATTTATTTTCTACTCAAATAATAAATAGAAGAGAGAAAAAAAGTAGAAGTAAAAAAAAAAATTGTAGAATCTATTTGAAAAAAAATGAGTACAAAAAATAATACTTTTCTTAAAAAAAATTACCATACTAATGGTTTGCACAAACTAAAGGATTTAACTTTTATGAGATTTGATTGTACACAATCATAAACAAATCTAATGGAAGCTGACACCAGATTTTGTTATTTTGATGTTTCGACAAAAGAAAGTTGAGGAATATTAACTTAATCTTTTTGACAAGTTTTTTATACATTTTTTATTGTTATGAAATTTAATATTAATTTTACTAATAAAAAGTAAATCTAAATTATTTAGTTAAATTAGTATACAAATTTCACGCAATAGTTAATTTTTTTTTAATTATATAGTACAAGCATTTAGAGAAAGACCAACCCAACACGTAACAAAAGCCGAGAGAGAAACAGTGTTGCGGATGCTATGGCTTCCAATAGGAGCCTTTTGGACACTTGGGATTTGCAAATTCATTTGGAGATACCTACAGAGTGCATAGATCTAATTCACAGAGATTTAATAGGAGTCGTCACTAACCATAGGCTATATAATATTGTTTAGTTTGCTTCTTCTTTTCTTGTGTTCAAAAAAAAAAAAAAAAAAGGCCAATAGGAGTCGGAAAGCATGAACAGGAAAATACTTTTAGGGGGTGTTTGGTTGAGGAATTTTTTTTTAGAATAGTAGAGAAATGAGATAGATAGAGAAATTATTGGAAAGATAGATAAAGTGAGATAGGTAGAAAAATGTAAAAAAAAGTTATTTGGTGGGGAAAAACTTTACTAGGAAAATTAGGTAACTTTATGAAATCAACAGTGCATTAAAAGTCAGATAACCGGTTTTCCGAAAAATCCCACCTTCAAATTGGGTTTCTAAACAGTGCGAATATCTATGTTTCTCATAAATCCAGACAAATTGGATAGATGGGTTTTTGGTGAAAAACGTTGAAACAAACATGGTATTTCTAAAAGCCATACTTGAGAAAGATTGATATCTCCTAGAAAGCTCCCAACCAAACACCACCTTAGGGACCGTTTGGTACACTGATTTTTTTCGGATTTCCAGAAAACTAAAATTTTTAAAATTTTAAATTTTCAGATATTATTGTAAACTGAATGTAAAAATCATATTTTTAAAAATCGAAATTCTCGACAAATAAAATTTTTTCCTATACTAAACACCCCTTGCACTGGTATTTTTGAATAGTCACTGCGACGACGATATTATTAATATTATAATTAGGTATTTTGAGAAAATATATAACTTTATGGGACAATATTTTTATGAATAGGGGAAATATTCTTTTTTTTTTCCTACTATAAAAGTTACATGTTTATGTCATACAAAATACAATTGATAATACTTGATTAGATTTTTTGGTTAACTTTTACGATGTAAACAAATAGATTTTTTTTTCCGTGCATCGCATAGATAATACACTAATACTGTAATGTCCCACATCGGTTGGAGAGGGGAACGAAGCATGCCTTACAAGGGTGTGGATACCTCTTCTAGTGTGAGGCCTTTTGTGGGGTGTCCCAAGAAACAAAACCGTGAGTTCGACGGTGCTTGTGCGCGGAGCAAAGCGGACAATATCATGCTACAGGGTTTGGGACTGTTACAAATACTATACTGGAGTTTCAAGAGTTGTATTACGATTTTGTAAATCTGGCATTTTTTTTTTGCTATCGTGCTGAAATGGGTTGCTGGGGCAGTCTCTATTGGGATTATATCTCTGTGTTAGAGTAGGACTGTTGGAGCCTCTCTCATTCCCATGGAGGAGGTTCAAGTAGAAACAGTTATTTTGTAAGAGTTGTTTTTGGATTTCGTAAAGGGTTATGTTTATCTCATTTTACATGAGATAAACATCTCTCCTACACACACAAAAAGGGTTTGGGTCCCACCACTTTTTTTTTCTCTCTCCTCTTACATGTGAGTCCCACTTATACTTTTATTTCTACAACATGAGATAATTCTTTTCCTACAACATAAGAAAAATATATTCTTTTGGTAAAACTGTCTTTTGACATTGCTAAGAGTATTAGTACTAGAGTTTCAAGAGTTGTATATTTCGATTTTGTAAGTTTTTGTTGATGTCTTTTGTAAAATTGTTTTGATTCTGAGGAAATAAAACTGTTTTGATTTTGGTGCATGTTAAGAGTTAGTAATATTGCCTCTCTTTCTTTCTTTTTTCCTAATCTGAAAATAATATTGCCCTGTTTCTATGATAAATACAAATATAAAGAAAATTGTTCCGAATATATTCGAGGCTCATGGAAGTTTTGACTTAACAAGAAGGGATAGAAGGGCATACTTCTGATTTTCTCATGGTTATGCCTTGAGATCATAATAAATTTTGTGAACGAATAAAGGGAAAATAATAAAAATAAGAGAAACTCAGTTGTATATCATGATAAGAATTTAATGCTTCAAGTTCTTTAAGATTGTTTTGACTTCCTTTCTTCGGGTAAAACATGGCTTGCAATCCTACTGGGTGGTTTTTTTTTTTTTATAATATCTGTTGCTTTTAATTATTTTTCTGATATTACATTGTTACAGTAGTACCAATTTCATTGTTCTAGCCTACAAATTATGGATTCGATAGATTTAAGGTTTTTAAGGAGATTCATTGTCATTTCAGTTGTTGCAAGTTAAGATGTTGCATAGCTTATTCATATCAACTCAATTCTTCCTAAATCCTGAATTCCTAATGCGTCAATGCTGCATGTTTCAATGAAGTGAGGTTGTATATCATATCGCTACCTATATATTCAACGAGGATTTTATAATTCTCACGTAACATTAAAATTTTCTTACACACCTTTTGATTTTCGTACTGATATGAGTCTCACACATAACTTTTTCTAATATATGAGTCCCACAAATTTTTTATCTTTTTCTAATATACGAGTCCCACAAATTTTTTATCTCTATGACATAAAAATTTTCTTCTCATTTAACATGAGAAGAATTATAAAGCCCATTCAACAATGGATTAGCATCATACATTTTTTTTACTGCTGGCAGGACCATGGTGGCCTTATTATATTAAGGCTGAGAAATTTTAAAAGTTTGATTCTGCTGTAAGCTTCTTTATACGTATTTCTGTTTTCTACACGTTGAATCATTCTTAACACCGTTAATTTTCGTTAATCAACGATTATTATTTATTGTGATTTAATAATTAATTAATAAATTTAATTTGTGAAAATGATAAACATTAATTGACAGAAATTAACGGTATTAAAATATGATTGTAAGAAGTTGTAAAAGAAAAGTTGTAAGTATAACATTCTTTTCATTATTTAACGATAGTAACCGATTTAACTTTACTTAGTTTTTTTTTTTTGGAAAGTAATTATCAATAAATTATTTCAAGCCATCAAGTGTGACTGGTAAAATAATCTGTACGCCATTTTGAATAGGAATATTTTATTTTATTTTAATCATCAAGTTGATAATTTGTCCTTTTTTAATTTTTACATACGATT